TTATTTGAAACACACTACATATACATATATATAAGTTTCGGATCAAATAAAAAGAGTTCTTATCATGAAAATTGACCGAGAATAAATCTTGTGCATTTAACTTGAGATCCAATGAGTCAAAATCAGTCAACAATGCACTATATTTTATCAAAAACTCGGTGACAATTTGATAAATAAATCAAAATTTTCTCTAATTGTGAAAAAGTGTAAAATAAATATCTACTAGTGTACCAAAACGAGTAAAAAATGTGTCCGTTCTCATTTTTCACGGGAAATAACTCTTTTTATTAGAACCTCACTCTATATGTATTAATAATTATTTTTCACTCGTTTTTATTTTATCCTAATAAAAAATTGTTTTTCAAAAAAAAAATATAAGAGCACCCCCTCAAATTATTGTCTGGTCCCGCCACTGTATACAATAACATCCCGCTCATCAATATCAATTCAATTTAGGGAAATTACCCAAAATAGGAGCAAATGACACTTGAAATTCCAAAAATCTCATCGTTTTATTATAAATATTCTATTCCGGATAAGCAATACCACTCAAACTTCTGGAATATTTAGGTTTGGACAGTTGTATACATTTCAAATAATATACATAATATAATATTAATATAATGTGAATGATGTTGGGTGTGTCTCGGATAACAAAGAAAAATAATTAATAAAATTAATTAAAATGACTAAAGAAAATAGAAATAAGATGGAGCAGAAAATAAGAGGTTGCACCTTGTTGGCGCCGACACTTCATCCGTGGAGACCCAGACGACGACGACTACTCCTACTTCGGTTGTCCTCCCCTGAGGGATATGCTTTGCTCCGTCTTATGAGATCGTCATTGAGTATCTTAAAAACAAGCATATGCGTTAAGACCAGGAGTTCCATCCTAAAAGGTCAACCTGATAGGAGGAGTTGCCCAAAGCCTTATATAGTGTTTTATTATTTTATAGCTTTCCGGTGTGGAACAAATACTTCAACACGCCCCCTCAGCCCGAACCGGGTTGGAAAATATTGGGGTGTATAAATGGGTCAAACTGACCCTTAACAAGCTACCCGTAATCAAAGGGGGCTAAACAAGCAGTCAAACTACAACCAGAATTGGCTCTGATATCATGTTAAGACTCGGGGTTCCATCCTAAAAGGTCAACCTGATAGGAGGAGTAGCCCAATGTCTTATATAGCGTTTTATTATTTTATAGCTTTCCGTTGTTGGACAAATACTTCAACAATATGGAAGAGCATCTACCGCTACCGCTGGTTTTCTATCCCGAAGTGGAGTTGTACAACTTGACTCCAGAAGAGCTGACAGGTTTCAAGAACATATATACTAGTATGCATGCATTAATTCCTCCGTATTGAAAATTTTATACGGAGTACTATATACTGCTAGCAGTTTCAAAAACTTACATATACACATACATGCATGCAGCAAGGCACACACGGATTGCATAAAAAGAGTGGTACTTCTTTACCAAGAGGCACAAAAGGTACTCCAAGGGCAGTAGACCCAGCCACAGGGTTGGGGATTGGGTTATGTGTAAGGTTTACAAGAACCCCCGGGCAGCGAAAGAAGACATGACACCGGCCCCAATAACTAGCTAGCTAATAAGAACGTAACGTACGTACCACTATGTTACATTGCTTTTTTTTTTTAGTTCTGAACTTCATTATACTGTTTCTAGCTTATTCTAACCGGCCTGCAATGTGAATTCATTTCGATCAATTAGTTTTATGTACATATATGTGAGCTGCTTATACTACGTGCATGCGAATGTGAGATGAATTAACAGCTAGATTTGCAGTTCTAAATTGTCTCATCATATCATGCGGCGGCATATGTAACTCCATAATTTAACTTTGTCTTCATTTTTCTGCTTATTTATCCGGCATATACGTACTGGCCGGCCGGATAGGCATGCATGTATGTCTCAGTTCAACGTGTTCCAATCCTGGAGCAAGGGCTAAGGGCTTTAATTTGCTAAAATCCATCTCTTAGTTAACTTGCATGTTAATTTGTTTTAGACTAGCTAGCTAGAATATAATATAATATTACTCTTACCTACATACGTTACTTACATTTTTTTATTTTTTTATTTTATTTGTCGAGTTATAATTATGACATTCATCCATGCATGTTTTAATTTTGAGACCTTAAAGATTTTTATTTTTATTCAAGAATAAATATTACTGCATGTGACACCATGCATGCACCTATTATCTATAACTTTAATCGGGTGATTATTGAATTGAAAAAATTACGTACACCTCTTTTGATATATTTGGGAACGAAAAAGGGATTAACTTTGAGTACTTAATTATGGTTGGGTGTTTAATTAAGTAGTTGAAGTATGGTCTAAATAAAATTAAACAAGGGTTTAATGCACCAAACCCCACTGTGATATGGAAATTCAGCGCATTAGCCTCTTGTGATTTAAAAAATGTATCAAACCCCCTTGTATTTTAATTAATTATGCACAAAATCCCTTCTATGAACAAATTTATTTGTCAAATAAAAGAAAAATGATTATCATTTTTGTACGATTTAGAGATTTTGACATATTTACTTGCATATTGAATATTAGAAAAAGTGATTTCAAAATCATTAAATTTATTCATAAAAGGGGTTCTGTGCATGATTAATTAAAACACAAGGGGGTTTGATGCATTTTTTAAATCTAGAGGACTAATACGCCGAATTTCCATATCACAGAATTTGGTGTATTAAACCCAATTAAACAATCATATAGTTTGAACCCGCAGAGTTGCTCACCTCGTTTCCATCAACCTAGCTAACTGCATGAACAAATTTCAAAACTTGCATACCATCACTTTCCAAAAATTGCACACCATTCCTTCAAATGTATGAAGCATTCGCGTCCATATGCAGCCCCGACCCTAAGAAATACAGGGCCTTCAAAATTATATTTGAGGCCCTAACTTTTAATACAAAAAATGCTAATAATACAATAAATATAATATCAAATTATACAAAATGCAATTCCACTTTTTGAAGTATTACACCAAGAGTACCAAAATTACATCCAATATTTTGATCTAAAATTACACTTGTTTAAGCAAAGGTATTCTTCTAAGATTTTATGAATTGAAATCTTCAATAATAATGTCTTAATATGCAATCTCTTCTCAATTGCTACTAAAACTTCTCATCTTCTTAGGTTTTTCAAATCAAGATTGATATGGAGTATTTTCTAATTCTAGGGACATTATAATTTACAAAATGTAAAACAAATAAGGAATTACAGTTGAGTTTGAATGGAATTGGATATTCAGATTTTGGAAAGTCTCAGTCATGATAGCAGATTGCGGCTCCTTTTTCATAGCACATTGTTGATATTTAACGCTTAAATCTTTTGGTAAAAACTTCACAGTTTAACTCACATTGATTAAGAAAATAAATTGACTTTACTGTTGAGTACACTGTTGAGACACTGTTTGGCACTGTTGAGACACTATTTGGCACTGTTTAACACTGTTTTGATGTAGATTTCTTTGCCAAATAAGGAAATAAGGAAGTGTGAAGTTTATTTTGGACCATCCCAAAAAGGAAAGTGTGAAGTTTAAAAAGATCCGAAGAGAGTAGATAGATTATATATATATATATATTTATTGGTGCGTTTTTAATTGTAATTTTGTTGATGCTCATTTGATTATATCTTCACTCTATCTTTAAATGACTCGAGAGATTTTTATTTTACTACTACTACTATACACATCCAATAAGATCGATTATTTCTAGTTCTTTTTTTGTTATTATACTTTCTCATATACTCCCTCCGGTACTAAATATACTTCACACTTTCCTTTTTGAGTAGGTCCAAAATAAACTTCACACTTCTTCTCCCTTCTTTATTTGGCAAATTATCTACATCAAAACAATGCAAAACAGTGTCAAACAGTATCAAACAGTGCCAAACAATGTCACAACAGTGTACTCTACAGTAAAGTCAAATTTGTTTCTTTAAGTTGTGTGAAATCAAAGTGTGAAGTTTATTTAGAACATAGTACTGTACTATCTATTCTATTAATTAAATGCTAACTCTCTATTTTGTTGCCACCACCTCCTTTGTAGTTACGCACGTTGTCATCTTTTATCTTATGCGAGTAAGATTAAAAAATGACGCAAAGTGGTTGATTTTAATTAATGTGCTACCGCATTGCTAAATTTGCAATTGAAATTGTTAAAGTAAGCACGTGATTTTCCCTTAACTTTCGTCCGTTTTCATTATTAGTCTCTCAAAAGTACACTTTCTGGTTATAGTATGCCGCAAAAGATGCCACCGACGTTGGACGCTTTTGCCGGAATGTATACTTTCCGGTTGAAAAGTTCTTAAATTGCAAAAATTTGTTAGTTACATGATCGAATTTGCAAGTGACTAAAATTAATAGACCACTAACGATAACAACCTAAAATTATAAAGACTAAAATTATAAATCTCTCTATCCCTTGCTAAGTATTGTTTCATTATATAAAAAATTATTTTAGCACCATAGTCAAGTATCATTTCTTTTTAAAATGTAAGTTTATGTCGTTAATTGCATATTTTAATATATTTTACAATTCATTTGGACACAACTAACATTCTGAATTTCCATTGAGAAATAAACAATGTAATCCCAAATCTATATAATTGTAACACTTTTAATTTGCTATTTTAAGTTATGCAATTAACTCAAAAAATTTACATTTTTGAAAGAAATAATACATGATAATGGTGCAAAAATATTTTTTTATATAAAATTTGAGGTATTTAAATTACATATACTAGTTTCAGGTATTTATCTTACACCCTTTCAAAGTTTAAGGTATTTTTATTATTTTTCCCTTTAAATAATGTTAAAAGATGCACTTTTAAAAAAATAGAGACGGTAAATTTTTATAAATAAGTGATTGTTTTATAAACGTGGGGAAATTCTACCACGTGAATGAAAGAGAAGTGGAAATTGAACCATAGTCCATAGAGAATGGATGTAATGATGGATGTGAAAATTGAGAATATAAAAGACAGAAAGGCATATAATGAGTTCTCACTGGAATCATGGGAGGTGGGTAAATTGAAATCCCTAGACAGGCGGATTTAAATCATCGGAGGCTCCGCCATGATCTGAATCTCTTATAAAACCAACAATCAGGCATCTGCAATGACCGGCAAAATATGAACGGAAACAAGAACAGGAGAGCTTCCGCCGTTGGTGACAGGCCGAGAGACACAACCTCCGGCGGCATTTCCGTTGGGGAGATGAAGAAGAAATCGACGCCGGGAATGGGCAATAAGGACGGCGGCGGGTGGTCACTGAGAAACGCTCATTTCATGACTTGGACGGCCGGGGATGCGTCGAGTGTGGCGAGGCAACACACCGTACTGTGCGCCTTCTTCTTAGCGGTCCTGTCATTTATGGGGGTGGAGTACACCCTGCGCATGATCCCGCACGATTCTCCTCCGTTCGATCTCGGCTTCGCCGCCACCGTCCATTTGCATCGCACGCTTGCTTCATCACCGGCGGTCAATACGCTCCTTGCGGCCCTGAATACGGCATTTGTGGGGATGCAAACGGCGTATATAATTTGGGCGTGGCTAATTGAAGGGCGCCCAAGAGCCACAATTTCGGCTTTGTTTATGTTCACCACCAGAGGAATTCTGGGCTACGCTACTCAGTTACCTTTGCCTCAGGATTTCTTGGGATCAGGAGCTGATTTCCCAGTAGGGAATGTGTCTTTTTTCTTGTTCTACTCGGGGCATGTAGCGGCTGCTGTGATTGCCTCTCTTGACATGAGGAGGATGCAGAGGACGGGGTTGGCCTTGGTCTTTGATGTGCTCAATGCTTTGCAAGCACTTAGGCTGCTCACCACCAGGGGTCACTACACCATTGATTTGGCCGTCGGTGTTGGTGCTGGTCTGCTATTTGATTCCCTGGCCGGAAAATATTTAGAACGTAAAAAATTGAACTCTTGATGATACCTGTCACTTGGCTTAGTGTTAAATTTTGTTACTACCTACTACATATTTGATATTCTGAATAAATCATGGACGAAACTATTCAGACTGGCCATGTATGTATCTGATTCAATGCATTGCGAATGTTTCAGTCCAGTCTATTCTCATTGGCTGAAAATTGATTTTACCGATTGTTCATGGATATTTTCGCACTATTTCGTGAGGTTTTGGTTGAGTTTATATAGCCTTAATCTTGTTCGGTCTATGGAGATGAAATGACTTTTATCTCATGTCGGGAATAAAGTCTCAGAGCATGAATCACTATCTCTGGGGAAACAGATGCCCTTGCAGCTAATAACGCTCCAGTTTCCACGCACGGTCTTCTTCAGCACACCATTATTGGGCTTGGCTTGGAATATGATCGATCCCCTGGTCACTTCCTTCCCCTATTTCCGTGGATCCCTCACTTCCAGTGATCTCCATATGAAGCTTATTGCACAAGAACAACACGTCTTATTCCCTTGGGCAGAGGATGCTTCTGCATATTCTCATCTATCAGGTCTTTGTTGCAGCCTCTTCGGGGACTCTCCTGTATCCTGACCACCAGTTTCCTTAAACAGAAACATGACTCTTGTGTGTAGTTTCAATGTCCTAGTTGTCTGTAGATACATTTGTCTCCACTAATATCATAACTAAACATGTCTGCATCCTTGTCTGAACCTTTAATATCCAAATATAACACCACACTCTATCCCTCTAAAAGAAGCTACATAGACAATGTTTCCCTAAAAAATGCTTCATACTTCCTAAAAATGTTTTAAGCCTCCTACATTCTTAAATAATTGCAATAAATAAGACTTTCCATGTCTTACTCCTATTTAAGCAATTCCGCCCTATTTAAGCAATTCCCTTTACCAATGTTGGAGGGGTGTTTCATAATATGTGTGCCTAACTCAATGTTGCCGTTATTTCCCAATACAGGATAATATTCGTTTTGATGAAAGTTTGAGGATATAGCAAGAATAATAGTTGGAATTTGAAAATCAGGTTATTGTTCCTTACTAACTCAAATTATAGTAACAGTCGAAAAGTAGTAACCAACATTAGCGTTGCAAGTTTTTATAACTTTGACTTCAATTCTGATTTTGGTGTTAAGAGTGGTGATGAAATTCATAATAAAGTCACAATCCCTAATCTCAAACAATTGATTTTTATCAAGAAGTTGAGTGGTTGAACATATAAGTTGTTTCTTTATTTTGATTTTTAATGTTTATATATTGTACGTACTTGACAAGAATGACAGCAGAGTTTATTTGCATATTCTATTTCTTAAGTTATGAACTTTAAAAACCAGGTGCTAATTTTACATATCTATCATTATATAAAAGCAAAATATTTTTGACACTATTCTTTGAAAAGTGTTCCCTCCAAAGTATTAAGGTAAGAAAGTGCTAAAGGGAATCTTTAAGATAGCATTCGAGATGTGTCCAAAAGATAGTGGAATAGTAAAAAATTAAACATGAATGGTATAATCACCTACATTAGAAAGTGGAATAGTACAAAGTCAAATAGTAAAAGGAATAGTAAATGGGGATGGGACATTAGCTCTTCGGCCTGTCTGTATCTTGGGTTGTGTGAGCACACCAACCTTACTAAGGCCAGCCTGTCTTTGGGAAATGTGAATCTTATCAAGGAAGGGTTATCCATTTTTCCCTATAAATAAGGACCTCATTACAATTGAACCACATTCAGTCCTTCAACCTCTCCTTTCATTTAAAGTTTTGAACCTACAAGTGTTGATAAGGAGAAAAGCAAATAAGAATAAACTCAAGAACTATAACCAAAGTCTAGACTTCATATAATTTCTAGATGTCTATCTTACAAATAAGCAAGTACCTGCCCGGAATGGGTCTCTCCAATCTCCACAGCTAATCCCTGAAGAAAGTTTGTCACCCATTAAAATCAAATAGAAGGCTTCTGTCCAAAAGTAAAACTTAATTTTTCTGTAGTAATTCAATGAAGGCATTTTACTTCAACCCCATTTACACAACCAAAATTATGATAAAGAGGTCATCAACATTAGATTTATTCATGTATTAAATGTTTTGTAAATGCAATCATAAAAGAAATCTCAACAAAAAGTTTAAACATGCAGGGATATGTCTATGCATATAGACACAAAATAGACATACATTTCAAAAGTACATACATAAATGAGTTTCAATTATCATCTCTAAAATAAAATTTGCCAATTGAGTTTCAAGCTTTCAGTATTTACAATATCCAACATCATTTGAATATATATTTCCTGATGAGAAGGTGAAAATGTTAGTATAGACATCCAATATTTGAGTACACTTTAAATTTTGAATAAGGAAAATGAGGCAGAACTTGGATTTTGCACCTGACTCGGAACTTCAAGGTTTTTGTGTTTCCAATATAGGTTATTCAAAGATCTGCATTACTGGATTGCTCCAAGGTGCAACCACCATGAACGATGATGAAACCAGAAGATACGAAGCTATCGATATAAATCAAGAGGTATTGATTTCTATTTGCAACTACTCTGTGAAGTATAGAAGCTCATTAAATTCACTATAAGGTAAGTAAACAATGACAATTTTATATGAGTGATTAAAAAAGACTTGACTTAAGATGACCTAAAGAGATGCATTTGATTCAATTTCACATCTACCAGAATTGTCATTGATATACTCAGTGTCTTAGCTCCTAAAAGCTAACTCACCACTAACAAAAAATGGCGAGTTTAGCCAGTAATTCAGATTATGAAGACAAGTTAGGCAAATTAGGCAGAGTTTAGCCATTTCCGTAAGATATGTTTAAGATGATATAGGTGTCATTTTAGAAAGATAATCACTAAGTTAGTTAGTGTTAGGAAATTCAAAAAGTTTTCTAGAGCATAACCACATAGAGTTTTTAATACTCAAGTATATATAGAGTAGTATACAGAAGAAAAACTAGGCAAACTGATGGAGTTAAGCAAAGACCAACAATTCCTTGGTTTCATTTCAGGAGATTAATTTATAAGATTTAGAGTTATACAACATGTTTAGATTTGGCAGATTTTAGTTATGCTCAGGAAATTATTGTTTTCATTTTCGGGAAACTATGTTATAAGAGAAAAACAGGCAGAATAGCCAGAGTTTAGCAATCCCAGAAAATTATTTATTTGAACTCATGAGTTTATACTTTAAAAATAAAAAATGCTTGAAATCAATTTAATAGAATATGTTGATTAATGTGTATAGCTTAAGTTGACTACATAAGGTTATCATCGGTTAATAACAAAATCACGTTTTCAAAGTATATATAGATTTGTAAATAAGAAAAGAAATAATTTTAATATCCGATTGGGTTAATTTTAAACATGCAGCTACTATTTCGAAATAATAAACAAACTAAAATAGGTTTAATTTAAAATGCATATTTGTATTAACTTAAAGTGTGGATTTATGGTCCGGATTAAAAAAATAAGGATTTTTATTCAAGTTAGACTGAATTAAAACGAGATCTACAGATTTTCGTGCATTTTATACTAACGATGACATAGTAATCAATTTGTAATTTGCATGCATTTATTTCAGAGAAATTAATTAAAGCACTTCACAATTTATGTGAAAATGTTAGTATTAGACATCCAATATTTGAGTTCACTTTAAATTTTGAATAAGGAAAATGAAGCAAAACTTGGATTTTGCACCTGATTCGGAACCTCAAGGTTTTTGTGTTTCCAATATAGGTTATACAAAGATCTGCATTACTGGATTGCTCCAAGGTGCAATCACCATGAACGATGATGAAACCAGAAGATACGAAGCTATCGATATAAATCAAGAGGTATTGATTTCTATTTACAACTACTCTGTGAAGTATAGAAGCTCATTAAATTCACTATAAGATGAGTAAACAATGACAATTTTATATGAGTGATTAAAAAAGACTTGACTTAAGATGACCTAAAGAGATGCATTTGATTCAATTTCACATCTACCAGAATTGTCATTGATATACTCAGTGTATTAGCTCCTAAGAGCTAACTCACCAGTAACAAAAAAATGATGAGTTTAGCCGGTAATTCAGATTATGAAGACAAGTTAGGCAGATTAGGCAGAGTTTAGCCATTTCAATAAGACATGTTTAAGATGATATAGGTGTCATTTTAGAAACATAATCACTAAGTTAGTTAGTGTTAGGATATTCAAAAAGTTTTCTAGAACATAAACCACATAGAGTTTTTAATACTCAAGTATATACAAGTAGTATACAGAAGAAAAACTAGGCAAACTGATGGAGTTAAGCAAAGACCAACAATTCCTTGGTTTCATTTCAGGAGATTAATTTATAAGATTTAAAGTTATACAACATGTTTAGATTTGGCAGATTTTAGTTATGCTCAGGAAATCATTGTTTTCATTTGTGGGAAACTATGTTATAAGAGAAAAACAGACAGAATAGCCAGAGTTTAGCAATCCCAGAAAATTACTTATTTGAACTCATGAGTTTATACTTTATAAATAAAAAATACTTGAAAATCGATTTAATAGAATATGTTGATTAATGTGTATAGCTTAAGTTGACTACATAAGGTTATCATCGGTTAATAACAAAATCACGTTTTCAAAGTATATATAGATTTGTAAATAAGAAAAGAAATAATTTTAATATCCGATTGGGTTAATTTTAAACATGCAACTACTATTCCGAAATAATAAACAAACTAAAATAGGTTTCATTGAAAATGCATATTTGTATTAACTTAAAGTGTGGATTAATGGTCCGGATTGAAAAAATAAGGATTTTTATTCAAGTTAGACTGAATTAAAACGAGATCAACATATTTTCGTGCATTTTATACTAACGATGACATAGTAATCAATTTGTAATTTGCATGCATTTATTTCAGAAAAATTAATTAAAGCGCTTTACAATTTAGGTGAAAATGTTAGTATAGACATCCAATATTTGAGTTCACTTTAAATTTTGAATAAGGAAAATGAAGCAAAACTAGGATTTTGCACCTGACTCAGAACTTCAAGGTTTTTGTGTTTCCAATATAGGTTATACAAAGATCTGCATTACTGGATTGCTCCAAGGTGCAACCACCATGAACGATGATGAAACCAGAAGATACGAAGCTATCAATGTTGAAGATCATTTAATTGTGAATCAAGTTTGTCACCTATCTTGTAATAGATTAGCTTTATTATTATTCCTTGTATTCAATATGTGTATTTATTAGGTTAAAGAATATGGGACCAAGTGTCAAGCCCATATCAGGCTGAAAGCCTTTTACGCCAACCCTATACCTGCGCATATAAAAAGGCGTCTCAGGTTTAGGGTTGCGTTAACTTTCGTACTCGTTCCAAATAGCCTTAGCGCAAATACTTCTCTGTACGAGTTCACGGTATATCAAGGAAGGTTTACATCGATCTATCTGTGTTCATTTTTACTGTTAATCTTCTTCTTGTTATACTGTTATTCTTTGATGTAATAGGAAACAGGGACTAACAATCAATATAAATCAAGAGGTATTGATTTCTATTTACAAATACTCTGTGAAGTATAGAAGCTCATTAAATTCACAATAAGATAAGTATACAATGACAATTTTATATGAGTGATTAAAAAAGACTTGACTTAAGATGACCTAAAGAGATGCATTTGATTCAATTTCACATCTACCAGAATTGTCATTGATATACTCAGTGTATTAGCTCCTAAGAGCTAACTCACCACTAACAAAAAAAATGGTGAGTTTAGCCA